TTCCCAAACTGGAACGAAAAATTGTATAAGAAAGTTTTTTTAAAAAATTGTATATACAAAAAATTTTTTTAATTAAAATTAAATTTCTAAAAACATGTGTTAAAGAAAAATTAATACCAGTACACTTACAAGGTTGCTTAAAAAATAAATTAATTATACACCAACAGTCTTTTATTCCTAAATTTAATAGAATTAAACACAATTGCATTAATAAATTAATTAAATTAGAAATTAAAGATTCATACATACAACTAAATAACAATAAACGAGTTTTGTTCAAAACATGCAAATTGATTGAGAATAGTATTCCTTTTGAGGTGAGTTGTTCATTTTTCAAACATCAAGAAATTTATTTTAATAAAACTTGGTTATTGGAAAATAATAAAATGAATAAAAAAATTTTGAACTTAAGCTTAAATACAAAAAAAGTATAGAACCTATAAATTATACAATAGAATTAGAATCACCAAACAATGGTAACAGTTCTAATAATTTTGTTCCTAAAAATATCAAAAAAATTTCTTCACTAAGTAATAAAACGACAATTTCAAATGATGTATTTGATATTAACGTTAATCAAGATAACTTTAATGATAATTACAATTTTAATAATATTAATAATAATTGGATTTTGAATAAATCTGATACGTCCATTCCTAATGAAGTGAAAGAAATTTTACAACTTGGGCAAAAATTTAATTTACCTATTGAAGATATACATAACGATAAAATTATTATTGAATTTATAAAAAATACTGAATTAAATATTTTAAAATTGGATGAAAACGATAAAAATTCTATAAGAAATGATACCATTGCAATACTAAATAACGTACAAAAGAAAAATATTAATAGGAATAACAATAATTCCCTTAAGGGCAAATCAAAAATAATTAAAAATTTTTTAAGTAAGAATCCAAATATTTTGATAACCAGAGCTGACAAAGGGAACACCACGGTGATTTTAAACTAAAGAGATTACATTGAAAAAATGAACAATATACTTGCTGATGAAGACACTTATCAATCATTGAACAAAGACTCCCTAAATAAATGGAGTAGAGAAATAAAAAATCATTTAGTTTTTTTAAAAAATAAAAAATACATTGAACAAGATACATATAAGAGACTGTTGATTACAGATGGAGTAGTTCCGAGAATTTACGGTTTACCAAAAATACATAAAGTCAATTGTCCTCTTAGAGTGATAGTAAGTTGTGTGAACAGCCCTACATCTCCGCTTACCACTTTGCTCAAAAATGTTTTAGACAAAGCTTTAATAAAAATAAATTGGGTTACATAAAAAATAGTTTTGATTTGGTAGAGAAACTAAATGGCAGAAAAATTTCTTCAAATTATAAAATAGTCTCATTTGACATAGTTTTATGTACACAAATATACCAACAGATTTAGCAATTAAAGCGATAGCTAATAGATGGGATATAATAGGGATTCACACAACTTTGCCGATTACAGACTTTATTCTATCTGTTAAATTAATATTAAATTCTACATTCGACAATAAATTCTATAAACAAATTTTTGGTATGCCGATGGGTTCACCACTCTCACCGATTATTTCAGATTTAGTTATGGAGGACATAGAAAAGAAAATTCACTCTACGATTAATATTGAAATTCCTATTTATTTTAGATATGTCGACGATATTCTTATAGCGTTACCTTACAATGAAATAGAAAATACTCTAAAACTATTTAACAAACAACATAACAGGATAAAATTTACTGTAGAAGGAAATGAGAGTGGAGTGAACTTTCTAGATGTTACAATCAAAACAATTAATAACACAATAATTTTTGACTTGTATAGGAAACCTACGTTTTCAGGAAGATACTTGAACTTTCATTCCAATCATCCTATGATACATAAAAAAGGTATTGTCATCTCGTTGCTGGACAGGATAATATTTTTATCACATCCCAATTTTCACACCAAGAATATTACAAATATGATCAATGATTTAATTAATAATGGGTACCCCCTAGAATTTTTATTTAATACCATTAACAATAGAATAAAATCACTAACATATAAAGTAGAACATAATAATAATAAAAATAATGATTTACCAAATAGCCAAATTAAAAAATTTGTTACTTTGCCATATGTTAATAATATAACAGAAAAATTAAAACACGTATACAAAAAATATAACATTAATGTGGCTTACAAACCGACCAATAGCTTATCAAAATTCATAAAAACTGGCAAAGACAAACTCAATAAAAATGAAAATAATCATTTAGTATATAAAATTAAATGTTTAAATTGCGAAAATTCTTATGTAGGACAAACAAAAAGGAAGTTAAAAACGAGAATCAATGAACATAGAGCAGATATTAGAAAATTAAATAACCCCTCTGTAGTCTCTCAACATCGCATTGAACATAATCATGACATGGATTGGGAGAATGTTGAAATTTTAGATCTGGAACCCTCTTTCTATAAACGTTCAGTATCCGAAATGATACATATTAAAAAACAAAAGAGTGGACTAAACGAACAAAAAGACACAGA